TAGTAGCGTCTTTGCTCATAGTAGCGATGCCAGGAGCCCCTAGTAGCGTTCTTGCTCAGGAAAACCAAGACAGAAAGCATGTTTGACATGCTTTGTTTCGTGGTAGCTTTGCTGAGGTGCAACACGGCAATAACGGCTTGCGAACGTGTGAGCTGTTGGGTGCTGGCGCTGGTGGCGCTGGATCAGCTGCACCAGCCTCGAAGGAGTCGGAGGCGGAGTGGGTGAAGTATACCAAAGAATGACGATCAGAAAGCATCAAGAGATGAGCAAAATGACAAGGCAAACAGGAATTGATGCATCAACAAAGTTCTGGTACTAGTATTTGTGAAGGTGTATATTCTGTGTTTGTCCGCACTGCACATTGATCAGACTGACCGCATGTTGGAGTCCATATCAAGTGACACCTAGAGTGAACTACCCCTTGTGCCTAGGCTTGTCTCAAGGAGCGAATGCTTTCCCTCAAGAAGAATGCCTTAGTACTCGGAGTGTTGGGCTCCCCTGGCAACATAGACATCAGATTTTCCTCCTTCCCTTTAAAGCCTTTGTCCTTCTCTCCATTGATTCAAACAAGAAGGACTGCAATGAAGCAACGAGCTTCCAAGTTCCCTTGCCCAACGCTTCCTTCACTGGAGTTGTGGGAACTTCGTTTCTTGTGCCCTCGGTGTGCTTTGCCTCCCAAGCTTTGTTTGCAGGGGCAGAGCCGGCAGAGCTGGCAGAGCACCTTCATCTTCAGTGATAAGCTACAACACCGCCATCAGTGCCTTGCAACAGGTGCAAAGTATGGAAGTCCTTGCTGGTCTCTTTCCTGAGGTTCTAGCTACAGTGTTGAACTAGACCAAGTCTCAACTTCAAGCTTCGAGCGCAAAGCTGTGCGGTGGAGCTTCGCAGGCAAGCCAGTGGCAGTGGGGCGAAGATCTTCTTGCGAGCCTCATGCAGGCTTGGACCTTCTTGTTGGAGTTTTGGGTACATCGTTGGGTTCATTGGCGTGCCAATGTCAATTTTTCCATCGGCCTCCTGTGTACTTTCATGGCGTAAGGACCATTCTCATTCCAGCCAAGCCACATCCTTTGAGTGGAGCTACGAGTAGCATCATTGCTCCTAGTAGCGATGCCCTTTGTTACTAGTAGCTTATTGTGTGTATATATATATATTATATATGTATTACTGTATCACATATATTGATCAGATGTAGCACCAGTTACATGTACACGACATAGCTTGTATAGATGTACGTTTCACTGCAGCCGTTTGTGGTTTACTTTTGTGTTCATTTCACTACCAGAGCTCACGCTTGGAGTGGAGCTAAAAGTGGGCCTAAGCTTCTACTACAACCTTTGGGACAGTGACTTGGGGTCACAGAGTTTAAGAGCCTAAATTCTCCGTTCATGGTAGCGGAGCCGCGGTTCTAAGACCCGGCTACCGTCTGCGAATCGAAGGTCGCCGAGCCGCATCGGCTCTGGCACCAGAGATCCACAAAACAAGCATCACTTGCAGGAAAGCCGGATTGCTTCAATCCCTGGCTAGCAAGTCAACATGGCGCAACAGCCAGGAGCACAGGCACCACAAGCCACAGACATGGCACAACAATTTGCACAGATGATGCAAGCCCTAGCACAGGGGCAGAGCCAATTGCAACGAGCAATGGCAGAAGCATATACACAACAAACGGCAATCACAAGGAACATAGCCACTAGCGTGGAAGTAAGAGACAGATCCGAGTTGAAAGGCATTCCAAAGCCTGACAAGTTCAGTGGACACACAGGTACCTGGGATTCATGGTACTTCAAGTTCAAGACTTGGATTGAGACAAGTCACAAGAATGCAGGAAAGTGCATTCAGCTCCTCGAAGAGCATCAAGACACAGAGATCAATGAGACATCTCTGGAAGATGATTATCCTGAAGGAGCCGAGCTTGTTTCAGCTCAGGCCCGACAGGCTCTGATCTCACTATGTGAGGGGGAAGCCCTCGAGATTGTCAAGAATACCTCCAGAGGTCAGCACTTTGGCCTAGAGGCATTGAGACGATTGATCACCAAGTATGATCCACAGAACCCACAAGCAAACTCAGCTTTGCTGAAGAAGGTCCTGCACCCACAACAGTGTGCATTGGACAAGCTCAGAGAGAGCATAGAAGCCTGGGAAAACATCAGGCGAAAGTATGAAGAGCGGAAGAAGAAAGCTCTTGATGATGACATCGCAAGAAGTTGTCTTCAGCAGATGTGTCCAGCCAAACTTCAAGATCACCTTGATCTCCAGAGTTCGAGACTCACTGACTATGCCATCATGAAGTCAGAGATTTTGGCCTACCTCGAGAACATCGAGAGCCGAAAAGAAGCAAAGACTGGATCAGCACCAATGGATGTTGACGCACTAGCCGCAGCTGCCAGCCAGATGCAAGCTTCACTTGCAAGTCTGGCCAAAGCCAAAGGAAAAGGCAAAGGTGGCTCAAAAGGCGGCAAAGGAAAAGGAAAGAGTCAAGATGGAGGCAAGGGAAGCGACAAAGGTAAACAGAAGGGAAAAGGTTCTTCGTGGTCCAATCCCTCGTCATGGAACAACTCATGGAACAAGAACGATTGGTATAAGAATGATTGGAACAAGAGTAGTTGGTACAACCAAAACTCCAAGGGTAAAGGCAAAGGTGGCAAAGGCAAAGACTCTAAAGGTAAAGGCAAGAGTAAGAGTAAGAAGGTAGCTTCAGTTGAGGAATCTGAAACCTCTATGGCTCAAGAGCATCAACCCGAGCCTGAGTATTCCGCTGACATCGCCACCCTCTTTGCCATCGACCTGCCGCAATTTCTCGTGGAGCAGCCAAGGCAAAAGCTGAGACTGAAGTCAAGGCTATGCCAAAGAAGCCAGGAGCTGGAAAAGGTCGTCCTGGAATTGCAGCTGCTGGGATTGCAGTCATGAACCAAGCAATCCAAGAGACCATGCAGTCCAATCGCGAGCTGTATGAGAAGAAGTCTGAGACAATCCAGAAGGCCATCGAAGAGGCCGAAGCCAAAGGCAAAGCAGCCAATGACGCCATCTTGGAACAACAGGCCGAGATGAAGAGGCTGAAAGAACAGTATGAAGAAAAGGAGAGAGAAGCCAAGATCTTGCTGAAGAGGCCAACTCCTCGCCGAGCCGCTTCGGTTCCGGCGGAGTCGCCAAGGCTCTCAGCTGATTTGGCATCAGGTATGGATCCAAGATTGGCCAAGAAGAAAGAGAAGAGCCGTCAGCGCGCCGAGCAACATCGCGTTGAGAAGGCCCAGGATCGTTTCGAATCCTGGCGCGAATATGAGGCCAATTACCCTGAGGAGCTCGATTACTATGAGATCGCTCGTGCCAAGGGTACTGGTCGACTTCAAGCTTGGGATGATGAAGATGATGAGGGAAAGTTTGATGAAGCCCCTCAGCCTCGAGGTCGAGAAAAGGCCCAGAGGCATCGTGGCTACAAGAAGCCAGGACAGGCAAAGAAGCCTGAGAAGCCAAAAGAGAAGGAGCCCAAGATCGAGGATCTCTCCACTCAAGAGTTGGCAGAGATGAAGCGGGAAAGCCAGACATGGACGGCTACTAGCCATCCAGCCCGCAGTGTCATCGACAAGGCGCTCACTGCAGCTGGGTTCAACCCAGAGGACTATGTTGTGATGAAGCGCGTCGAGAGCCAAGGCGAAGGAGCAACAAGCGCACCATCCTTCGCAGCTCCAGTCATGGAGAACATCAATCCCCTTGATGTGACTGAGATTGAGGGACTTGAAGAAGAAGAAGAATTTGAAGATGAAGTTGAGGAGGATGAGAATGGCACTGAGCCAGCTGACGAGGAGTCAGATGGTCAAGAAGAAGAAAAGGAGAAAGATACCGTGCCATGGCTCGACCATATGTTCCAAGAGCGCATCCTCAGCTATGATGAATGGGTAGCCAAATGCACCCACAAGAACAGAGATGGCAGCAAGAACATGGTCTGCCGTGCGTGCAACAAGGCCCTGAGGTGTGACAATGACACCGGCCTATGGAACCATCATATGGCTTTGAATTGTTGCCCGCCAAAAGTCCTCAACCAGTGGGCAAAGGAATGGACGATCAAGCAGAAAGAGATGGGAAAGCGCATCAAGACTGCCAAGGGACAGCAAGGCAGCCCAACTTCAAAAGATGCGCCAAAGCACGTGAAAGATGCCAACACGGATCTGAAGCCCGAAGATGTGGCAAAGCATTTGAAGATGGAAGATCCAAAGCTTGAGACCGTCAAGAAAGGACCACCTTTCTACATGACTGCCCATATGCAGAAGATGATGGAAGAGCAGGAGGAGGAAGATGAGGTTGGCCCAAAGACGCCAAAGCAAAGGCGCGTCGCCAAGACACCTCCACCTCCTGAGAAGAAAGGCAAGACCAAGGAGGAACGCATGGCCTGGTTCAAGAGCTCGACTGAAGAGCGCCAGGAGCGATTCCGTGGACCAGGATCCAAGCCAGAGGAATCCAGCGAAGCGCCAAGGCAGACGCTTCGGCTGAAGTCCCGGTCACGATCCCCGGGCAAAAGCCGAGCCGCTTCGGCTCCGGCTGCCTCCGAGAAAGGCCAAGGAAAGGGCAAGCAGAGGAAGGTGCAGTTGACCCGAGCTGTCAACGTGGCCACTCAGGATGCTGCCCGTGAGGCCAAGAAGGGAAAGGGCAAACGATATCCCACTCCCTCAAGCGAGCCTGATGAAGGCGATGACGATCCACTAGCTCTCAAGAGTTTGGAGCTGGCATCCATGGAGACGCCAATGGCTCATCAGGTGACCTTGGATTCAGGAGCCGCGACCTCCTGCATCCCTGTTGAACTGGCCACCGCATTGGGCTACAAGCCTATCCAGCCTGAAGGCGCCTGCAAAGTCTACAAGACTGCCTCAGGCGAAGTGGTCAAGGACCTTGGCAAGATCGATGCCATGGTGACCATCGGCATCGGCCAGAACTCCCTCAATGGACGTTGCTGTTTCCGGGTGATGGCGGTTGCAAAACCGCTGCTCTCCGCGGGGGCCCTTATGAGCAAGGGCTGGTGCATTCAGATGCACGGATCTGGTGGGCAGATCTCCCGAGACGGAACTAAGATTCCGATCACGTTCAGCAACGGCGTCTGTTCTGTGCCGCTTGCATTCCACCCTTTCGTCCGGCACCGCAATGGGTAAGCCCGGTGGAGCAGGCCGAAGAGGCCGAGCAAGGCGACGAAGTGCCGCCTGAGCTCCGAATCCATGCTCCCACTCGCCCGACGAGAAAAGAGTTTGAAGAGCATGTTGTGTCACACTTCCCTTTTAGGTCTTGGTGTGAAGCCTGTGTAAGGGGAAAAGCAAAGGCAAACCCCCACAGGAAAATAGACCACACCGATGAGACAACCCCAGTAGTGACTGTAGACTACTGTTTCATGAATTCACGAACTGATGATGTAGTTTTGGACGAGAAGACTCATGCACCAATTCTTGTTGTCAGAGATCGATGGACAAAGCATCTTTTTGCTCATGTGTTGCCCTACAAAGGTGTGACAAAAGGTCCATATGGATCCAAAGTACTTTTGAACGACATCAAGAAACTAGGATACTCCAAACTGATCATTCGACATGATCCTGAACCTGCTCTCACATCCGTTGTTGAAGCAGTAAAGAATGGGTTTGAAGGAACCCTGATCATCGAGAAGAGCCCGAAAGGAGTCAAAGAATCCAAGGGAGAGATTGAACGAGCAGTTCAAACCTTGGAAGGACAAGCCAGGACTCTTCGAGCCGCAATCGAGTCGAACTATGGTGAGAAACTTCCTGACGATTCCCCTGTTTTGACTTGGTTAGTTGAACACGCATCCACAGTCTACAACTTGTTTTTCCGATCCACCGAACTTCAAGACGGAAAGACTCCGTATTCACGACTTCGTGGACGTGAATGGAAAGTAGCAATTCCACCATTTGGTGAGGCCATCGAATACCTCAAGAGAGGCCACAAGTTCGAGGCCCAATGGACCAAAGGAATTTTTCTAGGAGTGAAAGACACCACCACAGAGAAGATAGTAGGAAATTCCACAGGTGTTTTCACAGTGCAGTCCATTCGAAGAAAGCCAGAAGAAGATCGATATGATTCAGAGTTGCTGAAATCGATCACTGGGATTCCCTGGGATCCTCAAGCAATTCGCGAAGAACCAGCGATTGCAGCCCCAAGGGAACCAATCATTGCCAGCCCAAGTGGTGAAGCTTTAGTTCAACCACCGGCAATTGATGACAAGAAAAGAAAGCTGAGAAGACTTTACATCACCAAGAAAGACCTGGAAAAGTTTGGGTATACTGCAGGTTGCCCAGCTTGTGATGCCACACAGATTGGCAAGAGATCTACAGGCATCCATCACACCAACAGGTGTCGAGACAGACTTGAAGAGAGCATCAGAGGAGAAGAAGAAGAGAACCCAAGAGTAGCAAGACATGAAAGCCGAGTTGGAGAGGCAATCACTGGCATGCCACAACCCGTCAGTGGCAAGAGACCTCAAATCCTTCATGGATATGAAAGCAAAAGACCATCGGGAGTTCCCGATTCGTGTCGAGTGTTCGCACGACTTGACGTTGAAGCTTACTGTTTTCAAACCACCATGCCAGGAGGACCTGATTGGTCCACCGTCTGGCACCGAGTCACAAGAAACCATGCAAACAATGCAATCATTGAGAGTGGAGTCATGACAACAGACCTTCCACCAGAGATACTCAATGGAGCATTACCACACAAGATGGACATTGTGACAGAACTTTGGTACGAACCAGAAGCAGCACCACCAACACCAGGCACAGCATCAGCTTCAGCATCAGGTATTCGCAGACCACGCGAACCTGAACCACATGGAGAAAAGAGAGAACACGAAGAACAACATGAACCAGCAGGATCACCCACAGCAAAAGCCAGAGTAGATAGAGACAAGAAGAGAAAGGCAGAAGGCGAACATGAAGATGAAGCCGAGAGAACAAGAGACATCCAGAGCATTGAGATGGCTTTAGAAAGCCTAATTCTAGAAGACAGAGAGAGAGTGCTATCTAGCATCGACCCAGAGAAACCAGTGTGTGAAGAGAAGATCCCACTGCCAGAAGAAATGGCAGAAGAGGCAAAAGACTGGTGGTACTATGATGACATCAGTGGAAAAGAGCTGCTACCTGAGAAGGTAGAGAAAGCCAGAAAAGATGAAATCGACATTGTCGAATCAATGGGAGTTTGGGAAAAGATCCCAAGAAGCAAAGTTCCAAAAGGAACCAAAATCATTGGAACTCGATGGGTAGATGTGAACAAGCAAGATGAAACCAATCCTCTCTACAGAAGTCGATTGGTAGCGCAAGAGATCAAAAGAGGCTCAGGTTTTGACGAATTTTTCGCAGCTATGCCGAGCCTTGCAGCTTTGAAGCTACTGCTAACCATTGCAGTCAGCGACAGCCTTCCATTGGAGAAAGGCGAAAGAAGAAAAGCAAAGCAATCTTTCCTAGGATTTTTGGATGTGAAGAGAGCTCATTTCTACTCCAAAGCAACAAGAGAACTTTATGTTGAAATTCCATCAGAAGGCAAGAAACCAGAAGATGGAGATGTGGTAGGAAGATTGGTCAGAAGCCTTTACGGCACCAGAGACGCACCCATGAATTGGGAGCTGACCATTGCAGAGTTTATGAAGAAGCTAGGATTTGTTCAAGGCAAGTCCAATCCATGCATCTACTACCATGCATCCAGAGAACTTCGAACAGAAGTGCATGGAGACGATTTCACGACAGTTGGAAGTTTTGATGACATCAAATGGTTTCACACTTCAGCAGCCAAAGAATGGCAAGTTGTGGAACGAGGCATTCTCGGTCCACCAGGTTCACCAAAAGCAAGCCAACAGATCAGAGTGCTGAATCGCATCATCACCTGGTCAAATGAAGGCATTTGGTGGGAACCAGATCCAAGACATGCAGAGTTGATCATCAAGTGGTTAGGCACTGGTCAACCAGGCAAGGTCAAAACACCTTTGGCCAAGCCAAGTCAAGAGGAACTCCAACATGAAGAAGTTCCGCTGAGTGCCGAAGATGCAACGATGTATAGATCTATTGCTATGAGAGCCGCGTATTTGGCACAGGATCGACCTGATCTGCAAACTGCAACGCGCTCATTGGCACAAGGTCTACAGAACCCAACATCGAGGCACTGGAATATGCTGAAACGATTGGCTCGATATGTCAGGTATCGACCAAGAGTTTCACAGTTGTTTCCAAACCAAAGCACCTGCAACCCCTTCAACATGTGGTCAGACGCCGACCATGCAGGTTGCATAAGGACACGAAAGAGTGTGTCAGGAGGCGTGCTCATGGCCAACAAATGCTGTCTCACAACATACAGCAAAGGCCAAGGAGTTGTCTCCCTGAGCAGTGGCGAATCCGAGTACTACGGACTTGTTTCTGGAGCATGTCAAATGCTTGGAATCGCATCAACCGCAAGAGACTGGGGATTGTTTCCCAGCAAAGAGGTGACAATGGACGCTTCCGCTGGCATCGCCATGGGAAACCGTCGAGGTTTGGGACGAGCTAAACATGTTGACACTCAATACCATTGGGTACAAGAGCGCACAGCAAAGAAAGAGTTTCGTCTCAAGAAAGAAGGCGCCGACCGAATGTTGGCCGATGTGCTAACGAAAGCTGTCACCGAAGAGAAAATGACTACAGCCATGAAAGGCATGAACTTCCACTACTTGGAAGGTGAGCATGAGCTGACTTTGAAAGCGTGAACGGCTTGAGCTAGAGTAGGTACTTCTTCAAGACCAAGATGTACTGAAGGGCTACGAGCTAATTCACCGAAGTGCTAATCCTGACTCGCTTAACTTCTGGGAGATGTTAAACTCGGGAGGCGTGATCAGATGTAGCACCAGTTACATGTACACGACATAGCTTGTATAGATGTATGTTTCACTGCAGCCGTTTGTGGTTTACTTTTGTGTTCATTTCACTACCAGAGCTCACGCTTGGAGTGGAGCTAAAAGTGGGCCTAAGCTTCTACTACAACCTTTGGGACAGTGACTTGGGGTCACAGAGTTTAAGAGCCTAAATTCTCCGTTCATATATAGACACTTGCAGCTTACTTGCTGTATATTCCACGCTAGTAAGCCGGTCTGAAATTTATTTGCAAGGGTACACACATGCGGATGCACTCTTCACATGGTTGAAAGGTTCCTAGATTATTTGGGAAACAAAACTTCTGAATTATGGAGAGTAGGAACAACTACATAAAAGGCCTTGCAACAGCTGCACTTTTCTGCGACGGTTGAGGTGAACCTGCAGCCGACGGTGGTCACAGCTGGTGCTGTGTGCGCCAAGGCACCATGGCCACGGAGCCTTGAGGTCTTGGAGCAGCTGGAAATTCGACAGGCACCATTCTTCCTGTAGACAAACAGTTGGACCGCTGTCCTTTTCAAAGCGAAGCAAGGAAGCAAAAGCAGCATATATCAAGCATGTTTGCCGTCAAAGCAGGTTCAGGCGAATACGGTTGCCTTCAACACCATAATAAGCGGCAAGCTCAGTGCTGGTGCTTGCTCAGACAGCTACTCAAAGTAAATGCCAAAGAGGAAAGGATCATGGGAGTACAACAAGTGCCTTACTAGTAGTAACAAGAAGCTATTAGAAACAAGTGCCACGCTTCTAGTAACAAGTGCCTTACTAGTAGTAACAAGAAGCTATTAGAAACAAGAAGTAAATGCCAAAGAGGAAAGGATCATGGGAGTACAACTCTTGTTACCTTTGAACCAATCTTGCATTTCCACCCAGGTTCTTGCAGTGGAAGGCCTGCTCTCGAGCTACTTCGCAGAATGTGGCAAAGGAGCTTCCTGTCGCTGCTCATACAAATTCCATGCATGTTGTGATGAAGAGTGCATCCACACTGGGCATGCTGATTCAAAACTCTTAAAGCTATCATCCAAAGGCTCACTGTAAGGAGATATTATATAGTGCAAGTTGCTTTGTTTCAAGGAGGATTCGAGCAACTGTGATCAGCCCAGGGCTCAGATTGCACAACAGAGCGCCACTTGATTGATCATTGTGCAGGATTTTGACACGGGTCGAGGCTACAACAGTGCCATCAGTGCTTGCAGCTCGTGGGAACTTGCGCTCTTCCTCTTGACCCTTAACTAAACGCATTGGAGTGTTTTGGAGCTCTGTGCCTGACCCAGTGGTTCTGTGTTCAGAGTCGAGGACCAACATGGGAACTGCCAAGCTTGCACCTGACTTGCTGAGCCACTTGATTGCCATTTTGCTACTAGGAACAAGTGCATCGCTACTAGTAACAAGTGCCTTACTAGTAGTAACAAGGTGCGCTATTAGAAACAAGTACCGTTTTGCTTCTTGTTCCATCTTGTTCCTAGTAGCAAGAATGCTACTAGTAGCGATGCCAGGAGCCCCTAGAAGCGTCCTTGCTCCGAGTAGTAAGGCCAGGAGCCCCTAGTAGCTTCTTGTTCCTAGTAGCAAGAATGCTACTAGTAGAAATGCCCGAAGTTGATAGTATGGATGCCCTTGTTACTAGTAGCTTCTTGTTCCTAGTAGCAAGCCAGGAGCTACTAGTAGCTTCCTTGCTCCTAGTAGCGATGCCCTTTGCTCCTAGTAGCTTCTTGTTCCTAATATATCTCCACAAGCATGATCTGGTGCGCACCTTTATTGAAGAGAGCTATATAATGGGTAGAAAGAAGCTGCACTGCGTTGATTCAAGCTGGCATGAGCAAATAGACACTTTCCAATGTTTTTTTGGTTTTGGTGTGCTCCAAGGCTTCAACTCGGTGATCAGTGCATGTGAGACGGGGGCAAACTGGCAGTTGGGCGGAGCACTTTTAGACCTCATTGCTACGGCTCGGCTGAGTTCAGACGTGATCAGACGCTTGACGAGCAAACCTGGAAAGACATTTCAGTAGTACCTATTTATCAACGATGAATAGTGCGAGCGCTTCTTCAAGGAAGCTCTCCCCCACCCTCAGGCGGGGGGAGCTTCCTCGGAGAAGCGTAATATATCCTAGGTCCAGCTACTAGAAGCCAACTAGTCAGTAGCGAAGCTAGTAGCGAACTACTCCCTTATTCAATTAAGTAGGCGCCTACTTAATTAAGTAAGGAGGCAGGGCCACGGGCAAGACAACAATAAGAAACACAGGCAGGTTTGGTTGGAGGCCATTGCTATTAGGTTGGAAGCCATTACTAGCAGCTTACTGTTCCTTCCTTACTTACCTAATTGCTAAAAGGCAGGTTTGGTTTTGGTTTTCAAGCGACCGGACTTTCTACTCAGGTCTTAGCGCAACGATCAGCACCTGCGAAGCAGCGAGTCAATGGCAATATGCAGCTGGTCTTCTGCACCTGAAAGATGGACCCGATGGAGCGGTGCGCAGAAAATCTCAGTTCAGGAGCAAGGACGCTACTAGGGGCTTGCTATTAGGTTGGAGGCCATTACAGCAACAAGGGCATTGCTACTAGGAGCAAGAAGCTACTGTAGTAGCCATATATAACCTCCGTTTGTTTTAACGTTCAGGTACCAAACCTCACCACGTTCAACAGCGCTGCCACCTCCTATGAGACACTTGGCAATTTGCCCCTTGAGATTTTTGCTGCGCCACGTGCAAATGAGGAAAGCAAGGCGATGGGAGCTGGCAGTGCAAACTTTGGAATTGCTTCAGCCTCTTCAGCCGGACTTGATCACCTACAACTCTGTTGCCGCCTGAGTCGATGCTGGTTGAGCGAAACTGGTGCAGGCAGGTGGACACACATGCCTTTGAAAGAGGTCACGCAATTGCGACAAACGCTACCAAGCAACTGGTTCAAACTCAACACGTGTCCAAATTTCGACGGACTCAACGATTGAAGCTGCAAAAACCGCAAGGTGTTAGATCTCAAAATACCAAGTTCCAACATCTCAAAGTTCCACACGACATCTCAACAGATTACAACTGTGACATCTCAAAGTACCACACCTGTGAATCGAGTGTGGGCAAACAGATGAACACACGTGATCACACACGATCACACATGATCACCACGAACACTCGCTTGCATGAAGGCATCAAGCATCTACTTATCTAATAGACTGTAATTATACGTGCATGGAGCAAGCTTTGAGGTCTTGAGGTCCTCTGGGAAGCGCTGGCCACTTTCCTTACAAATTCTACAGACTATGGTCCAGGCACCGGTCCTTTCAGTTTCAAACAGACGAACTGGGTTCGTTGCTTTGTCTTCCATTTGCGTTGTAAGGCTGCCATTGTCGCAGACCTCATCAGTCGCTTGGAGAACTTTGGAGCACCACATCTCATGGACGTTCTTGAATCAGCTACTAGGAACAAGTGCATCGCTTCTAGTAACAAGTGCCTTACTAGTAGTAACAAGAAGCTATTAGAAAAGAGATTCTGCTCAAACGATGGTCGCCCAAACGATGTTCTGAATTCGATTTCGTGTCTGCAGAGGCTACAACGCCGCCACACTCGCATGCGAAGCTCAGCTCACACATCTCCAGCTTTTGCTGGATAGAGTTTTACCCAGAAGCTTGCAAGAGCTCCTTTACACCGTTCTCAAGCGAAAAAAACTGCTGCGGTGCTCGCTCATGCAACCGCTTGACATTGACCGATCTGGCCAATCTGTCTACCAAGGCTGGACAACTTGGCGCTAGCTCCAGAGTGATCTTGGCCTGATTTCAGCACTAGGAGCAAGGACGCTACTAGGGCTCCTGGCCTTACTACTAGGAACAAGAAGCTACTCCTGGCATCGCTACTATGAGCAAAGACGCTACTAGGGGCTCCTGGCCTTACTACTAGGAACAAGAAGCTACTAGGGGCTCCTGGCATCGCTACTATGAGCAAAGACGCTACTAGGGGCTCCTGGCCTTACTACTAGGAACACTAGGGGCATTGGATCTAATCGGGGCTCCCGTGTCGTAACATCGGCCCATGGGGGGTGCTATTCTGTCACAGGCCGTCTTGGAAGTTGAGATAAAGCGTCGGAAAAGTGGCTAGGTTGGACGATTCAAGGCATCTTCGGAACATGGGCTCATGCTGGGGGGCTAACTTGGCACAAGTTGCCAACTTCGGCTCAACTCTGGGCCACGTGGCGCCCAAGTTAGTAAACAATTCGACCAAGACACCATTTAATATTTCATTAGTTAGTTGAATAAAACAACAGCGGTGGCCCCCAACCTACTAGCGAGGGTGCTGACACAATTAAAAAATTCTTTGAACTGGCCCCGAGATGAGCCCATCTTCCGAAGATCTTTCCTGCCATTGCTTCTTATATGGACCCATGTTCGGACGCTGTTTCCCCCAAACGTCCAACATAGCCGCTTTTGTGCATTTTTAAACAATTTTCTGCACCCTTCCTTTTATACTTCCAAGCGATATTTTCAATCCGGTAGGGGCTTCCACTTGTCTTGGGCGCGCTGCAGTTCCATGAACCCGCTTCATCCCAGGTTCAGCTTCTTTGGCATGATGGCAAAGCAGGCAGGCTAGTTGGAAGTGTGAAGTTTGATCCAAAGAGATTCTGTAGTCTGCAACGGTTCAGTCTTGCACCGGATTGAGAGGTTGCACTAGAAGAATCCAGCTTTGGTTTGGCACTGATTTCACCCGTCTTGGGCGTTGGTGGCGGTCTTGGCGGCCGGAATTGACACCGCTAAGGCGTATTTTTGGCGGACAGCGACGATGAGATCAGCGAGATTTCCTTTGGAGGGATCTCATCGGTTTTAGCCCCAGAATGGCAGTTTTAGATCGAACGCGACAGAAGTACGAGCCGAATCTCCAGCAAGTCCAGCCCGGTGGACATGTACTTGGATGATGCATGAACAGTGGTTAGTTGTTTGGAACTGAACCTGGTGGTCAATGACCACCCAGCCGGAACACCCAAATTAATTCTTTCTGGTTCACATTTCTTTGCAAAAGGTGCAATGCCACCCCAGTCGCCGGCAAAGGACAAGATCACCTCTGCTTTGACGTGGGCGAAGGTGGCATCACCGGAGCTTGGCTACTGGCAGGCGCCGAGATGCGGATCTTCTTAATACACAAATACACTTGTTACTAGTAGCTTATTGTTTCTACAAGCTTCTTGTTACTACTAGTAAGGCACTTGTTACTAGAAGCGATGCACTTGTTACTAGTAACTTATTGTTTCTACTAGCTTATTGTTACTACTAGTAAGGCACTTGTTACTAGAAGCGATGCACTTGTTACTAGTAGCTTATTGTTTCTACTAGCTTCTTGTTACTACTAGTAAGGCATTTGTTACTAGAAGCGATGCACTTCTTACTAGTAGCTTATTGTTTCTACTAGCTTATTGTTACTACTAGTAAGGCAGTTGTTACTAGAAGCGATGCACTTGTCACTAGTAGCTTATTGTTTCTACTAGCTTCTTGTTACTACTAGTAAGGCACTTGTAACTAGAAGCGATGCACTTGTTACTAGTAGTAAGGCACTTGTTTCTACTAGCTTTTTGTTACTACTAGTAAGGCACTTGTTACTAGAAGGGATGCACCTGTTACTAGTAGCTTATTGTTTCTACTAGCTTCTTGTTACCACTAGTAAGGCACTTGTTACTAGAAGCGATTCACTTGTTACTAGTAGTAAGGCACTTGTTTCTACTAGCTTCTTGTTACTACTAGTAAGGCACTTGTTACTAGAAGCGATGCACTTGTTACTAGTATATAGCTTATTGTTTCTACTAGCTTCTTGTTACTACTAGTAAGGCACTTGTTGCTAGAAGCGATGCACATGTTACTAGTAGCTTATTGTTTCTACTAGCTTCTTGTTACTACTAGCAAGGCACTTGTTACTAGAAGCGATGCACTTGTTACTAGTAGCTTATTGTTTCTACTAGCTTCTTGTTACTACTAGTAAGGCACTTGTTACTAGAAGCGATGCACTTGTTACTAGTAGCTTATTGTTTCTACTAGCTTCTTGTTACTACTAGTAAGGCACTTGTTACTAGAAGCGATGCACTTGTTACTAGTAGCTTATTGTTTCTACTAGCTTCTTGTTACTACTAGTAAGGCACTTGTTACTAGAAGCGATGCACTTGTTACTAGTTGCCTTTTGTTTCTACTAGCTTCTTGTTACTACTAGTAAGGCACTTGTTACTAGAAGCGATGCACTTTTTACTAGAAGCTCATTGTTTCTACTAGCTTCTTGTTACTACTAGTAAGGCACTTGTTACTAGAAGAGAAGCACTTGTTACTAGTAGCTTATTGTTTCTACTAGCTTCTTGTTACTACTAGTAAGGCGCTTGTTACTAGAAGCGATGCGCTTGTTACTAGTAGCTTATTGTTTCTACTAGCTTCTTGTTACTACTAGTAAGGCACTTATTACTAGAAGCGATGCACTTGTTACTAGTAGCTTATTGTTTCTACTA